GCAACATGATCGTGTTGTTACGACGATTAGTCATGACAGTGGATTTGGTACATTCACACACATTTCCTTGGCATTATCCTGTTAAGCATTCAGCTACTTCGTCAAAAAAGCATAGTCTACCAATTCACCAAATCCACCTTCCGAAGCCGGAAACTATGAAGACTACTCGGACAAGGTGTAATTCATTCTAGGTCGCCCTGGCAACACGTTCAAGTTGCGAACATTTGGTAGAACCAGTTAAATGTATGCATGCTTGGTGAATATGAAGTAGAAAAGCCGGATTCGTGTGAAACTGCTCTGCAACTCGGGGAAAAAGTTGACTGAATCTCTTGAGACAACATTGTTGGGGAGACCATCGTTTCGTATGAAAGTGCATGAAGAAGAGACTCGAAGCTCGATCAAATGATGGACATCATCAGAAATGGAACTCACTCTTGTAAAGTCTAACGTCAGCTCTAAGTCTTGACCTATGCTGGACGAAAGCTCAGCCCGTTTTCACACGAAACGAGGGAGGAGGACTCGTGGACTGTGTCAACCTGAACATGGTATTAAAACCAAACGGGATTCATCCGTTCTCTTCCGGTGAGATCGACCTACCAATCTCTCCTTCATGCACGTTCATACGAAATGAAGGTCTCCCCAATAAAACTTTTTGTCTGAATGTCTGTTTGTGTGTGTTTGTGTGTGTGTGCGGTGAGGGTTGCGATAGAAGGAAATGATCTAAATTGTCATCTCGACGGCAAAACTGTCTGGTTGGAGGGACTTTGTAGGCTGAAGCGAGCTCGCCATTTGTCGAAGATACCAACCCTCGTCTCGTCGTCTGTCCCGTCCTGCACTCAGACAGACTTACAATCCGATATGCATCATTCTTAAAGGTCACCATCACCCTCCATAAAGCAGCCAATGGCAATTGTGCCTTCGAGGTGAAAAGTCAAGTCACATCCTTTCACAGACCGTCTACGAGCCGAAATGATTCGTGCTCCTCGACCCACCAGTCCATGGCTCGAGTCCCGCCAGTTCGAGTCCGGTCGAGGGTCGTGCAGGGAATTGCAAAAGTGGATGACAAATGACGCATTTTGGGCAAAAAAGGTAGAGCTATGAAAACGAGATCCACTTACCGTGGGGCTCGACAAGAGTGTGAGCACGAGTGGAGTTGATGTGAGAAGCCGCACTTGGTACCAGATTGTATGTACACGTTTCGCTTGTCCGTGTCCTGCCTTTGCCGAGACTAGGAGGCAAGTGGTCTCATCCAGCCGACGGCATCACCACACCTACAGTCGGGGGGTTGGCCAGCAAAACGCTCCCAGTCGGGATTGAGCAATCGCCGCGATTGGTCATTGGCCGAGCTGAGGGACGCGGCGATTCGGCCAATCGTAGGCAGGCCAGGGGAACTGGGCAAATTGAGAAGATGACCAACCAGACGACAAATCCACTCGCCCGCTGCCCCGTCTTCTGGCGTTGTCATGATGCATTCGAGTCGTTTCATCATTCGCTTCTCGAGATTATCAGTAATTCAGTAGTATGAGATGTATTCACCCTATTTCGTGTAAACTGATGAACGACTGGTGGTAGAATTTGCTGAAGTTTCCATTCAATTTCAATTCCCAGAAAGTCTTCTCAGCCTGGCTAAAGTGGACGACAATTTCGACCTGGCACGAGTCTTTTCAACAACCCAACCGGGAGTCGAAGCATGACAGTGCCACGTATAAGCTCAACACGTTAACCACAAGAAAGATGTGACTTTCCAAGAATGTCAAATTCTGTGTTGGAACGGTCGATGAAGCAAACTTATATTTGCTGTATGTAAGGAAAAGTTGGGTTTCGAAGAATATCTTCTTTCATAATTGTTGAGCTTGCTTCCATGTCAAGTGAAAGTGTTTGGTGAATAGGTCCGAAGTTCGATTCCACCAGAAGACGACGGCGGATGCTGACGCCGTTTCCGAAGTAATCTCGTTCGATTCCGGTTAAAAGGTTATAATAGGCTTTCGTGCATCATATCATCTTCACAACCGAATTCAAGCTAACGAATCGAGAAA